CTTTTACTCATAGATGTCGGTGCATTTCTATGGTATTTTCATCGAAATTCATGCAGGTTCGTGATTACTGACTTATTGCAAACGAGAGCACACAAAATGTCTTCCCTCGCTGCGACGCCATTTCCAGTGTTGTTCACAATTACAACATTGCTGCCACCTATTTGTCAAAAAAAAAAAGTTACAAACTCAAAATTTCATATTTTATCTTTACAATGACATATCAGGGATCATTTTCTTTTTATTGATCTAGGAATTATTGAATTTTGTAATTGGATAAATCATTTCTGATAACTTTGTATTCGTTTTAATTGCCTTTCTTCTCAATGTTAAATGAAGAATTTAATAACGTCAGTATGCAAGCGAAGACTTAAGAAGTCAACCATCCGGTATAGTGGTTAGCAACGCTGACTGTTGTGCCGTGGGGCCTGGGTTCGCATCCTGGAGAAGACATGGATGTTTGTAAATGTATAATGTCCTCACGGAATGGGGGTTATTAAAATAGCATTAGAGCCGCAAGTCCTCTCGTGAGGTTGGTGGAAGGGGAAGAGAGATGATAGGCCCCTGAACACCCCCAGGGTATTCTCCCTCAAAATTGGGGTGAAACCTAGCTAAATCTTTCTGTCATCTGTAGGGTGCTCAAAACTATGGCTAACGTCAGGCGTCACTTAGCCCTTTACCATGATGAATTTCGTTGTCATTGATCTGGCTTTTGCTGATCAAGTGGCATTAGTAACGACAACAGACTTAGGAATTTTGTGTATTGTAACTATTTACTTATATGCTCTTTCATTAATATTTGGACTGTTTATACACGACTAAGGGGAACAGTTTTCAAATTATTTAAGACTGTAATTTTACGATATTCTATTTAATATTTTGATTAATCACTTATTATCCAGGTGAAAAGGGCAAAATAGGGCTCCTCTTTTATGAGATCTTTTTTCAAAGCATCTTACATATAAAATTGCCGAATTTCTGGAAATTATAATATGTGCTTTAACACACTGATATGCTAATATAATGTTAAGAAAATATCATGTATTAAACATATGCGAGGGAGAACAAATTGTGATTTTAGTAATTGTACAATACTTATTTTTCTAAAAGAAAACAAAATAATGTAAATAATGATTTTGCGTGATTTACTTGGAGATATTTCTCAATCTTCAATGTATAACAAACACAAACACACACATATATGTATAACATTGGAATTCCTAAAATGGCGTGCATTATTTTTTAAAACTATAAAATTAGTTCACTGCAGAGAATTTTGAGAATTTTTTTAATGTAAGTGGCTAGGACAATAAATTATCACGATAATAACACTTAGCAGAATGTCATGATAATATGAAAAATATGTATGTTTTCTAATATTTTTTTAACAAAGAAACTAAAAAGTTTTCCTTGAAAAAAAAAAACTTTTTAGTCTTAACCATGGTTAACTTTGTATTTATTTTTTCAATCAACCTTTTTTGAAATCATGCTGTGATTTTGTTTTCTTGGGATAATCATTTTATTTCAAATTAGTTAAATTTTTTTTTGTTTTTTTTTAGTGAGTACAATGAAATAATTCAATATCTTGTGATGTTGAATATTAAACTTAAACATACATATACATGTTTTATAAAATGCTCTAAAGCATTTTTTGTCAGCTCACACAAAGCTTCAACAAAAAGATCTTTAGGAAGTTTAATACCAGAAAGCTATTTTAATTTGAACAATTTTTATTTATATGGAACATATAAATAAAATTTTACATGTTAATCACCGTAACCGTATTGCTAGATTTGTTTTAAATAAAGGTTAATCGCAAATTTACGTATCCTTTATATAAGCAAAAAATATGTAAATGACTAGCTTAAATGGGCCATTTTAGGATTAGCAAAACATATGATTTCTTTCGGGATTGCTATATGCAACCTTTATGTATGCAAATTTCTAATGAAACAGTATTAAGGTCACACAAGCAAGATGATCTCTAAACCAAATCACGCAGAGAGTATTTATTTATACAATATTTAATAGCATCACGTGATTCTTAATTTGGTGCAAACGATTATCGGGCAGTTAAGATAAGCATGAAGTAGCTGGCAGCAACGTATTTAATTGCGTCAGGTGCTTCGCTTGTTAAAATATCGAAGATATTTCTTTTTATTTCTTCAGTAATCGAGCATAAGGTTAATTAAGGTTTCATAATTAGATATCGATTACTTTCTATCGATATAGAATTTCCACTGAATCTAATATATGTTTTATTTAAAACAAATAATTTAATGGCTTTTAATTATTTATTTTCCTAATGAGAATGCAAATATAAAACAAAAATGTGTTTTTAAACAATGGTAGGACAAAAACAGTTAGTTTTGGAATATTTTCTCCTTGTTAGCTTTAAAGACATCAATTGATAAATTGTGAGAAAAGTCTACAAGCATGCTATAAATTATACAAACTATTTGCTTTCTTTCTTTTAATATCTGTACAATATACGAGCATGTAACTAAATGATTACGTTTTTTTTTCTTCAATCTGAATTAAATCTCTTGCTAAGTTTTTTATGTAATAATTTCAATTTATAAGTAGTACAACAATTATTAAAATGAATACTTTTTTAAAGAAAATTAAGACATTTTCACAAACAGATGAAATTATTTAAATTTAAATTATTGATTCCTTACCAATGACTACGTTTAAAAAATATCATTAATAAGATATTTGTCTTATTGAAGGAATAATCTACCAGACAATGTTAAAATGTATCAACATGTTACAGAGATATATGTATTTAATTTTCATGAATTTTTTAAAGTATATACTGTTATACTATAAAAATAAATGCTGAAATTTTTGAAATTTCAAATCATAATTGTCTGAAGTCAAAAATTTTATTCTAAGTTAGAGAGAATTTTCTTTAGTCTTCGTTCTATAAGTTCTCTATTTAAGAAATAGTAAAAATTTATAAATATAGTTATGAAATAAGAAAACGAATAGAAATGTATCTACAAAATATAAGTATATATGTTTGACTTAAAAATTATATTACAGACAGAAAATTAATTTTAATCCTTTATCTACCGACGGTAGATAAAAGTACCAATCAATTGAAAATTACATAGAATAGCCATTTTTACAAATATTCTGACGATACTTAGCAGGAATATTCTTTGAAATCCACTCTTCCAAGATATATGGCTGCACAGATTCTATGATAAGTATTTAAGTGGGGAAGGCGAATAGTTTTAAAGCAGAAATTTGTTTTCAGCTGACGGCGTTTTCAGCGGATTGCAAAGATTGTCATTTTTGTTCCGAAAAAATAGTTAATGTCTTATTTTTTTCGTATGTTAATGAAGATCTTAGAAAATAATTTGACTATTTATTTTAAGAGAACAGCATGTATAATTAATTTTACAGTTGAATATCTTTAATTAATTAATTAGCTCTAACTAATTAAATTTCCCAATGTTGAGTATTTTGTTTATGTATATCCCTTAATTTTCAATGCAACGATTAAAAAAAATAGTACATGAAAAAAAAACTGCAGTAAATCATAATGCGGTAGATACAGGGTTAAATAGAATTCAATGTCTTAATTTATAGTAGAAAATACTTTTATTTTTTCAAAGAAATATGAATATCTACCACAGTATTAAGTGCATCCGTTTGTTAGATATGTTGCACTTTCTTTTTCAATAAATGGAGACATTTCATTATGAAGGGGAAAATATGAGCTTTAAACAATAGATTTCACTCGTTTAATTGTAACTCTTATAGAATTTGCAAATAGGGATAAGTACTATTTTTGAATAATTACTCAGAATTTTAAAATACACTATTTATTCTATTAGTTATAACTAATTTTACTTGATCAAATCCTGATAAAAAATCAATGCAACAAAATTTGTTTCTATTGAAAATATGACGACATTTAATCATTTTCAGTAAATGGATAACTACCTGTTTTAAAGATGAACTTAATATCGTAAGTAATATTTTTTTAGCTTGTACAAATTTAGTTTGCACCTTTTGGAAAATTTAATTAAATTTGAAACTTCGATTAATTATTTTTTAACAGTTAATGAATCTCTATATAACATTTATATTTAACGTAGTGAATATTTATATTAATATGAGGCACAAATAAAAACGCAAATATTTTTACTTTTGTGGAACTATTGTCTCTATCCAAATACAAAGTTAGTCCAAAGTTATTTTTTTTTCTTTTCAGCCGGTAGTGAGACTTCACTGCGAAGCATGAAGCGTCTAAAAAGACGTAACACTCTTTAAGCCGATTGTCTTTTGACATCATTGGCAGTTTTGCGGAAAACCATTTTTGACTGGACAATTCTCTTTTTCTTCTTCATCACGGATCATGACATTGTACTTTTTAGAACTCCATGAGAATTTTTCCTCTGAATGACACCTCCTGCCCTGGATTAAGGAATGGGGGATTGTTTGTTACCCTCCCTCCGCTCCTTGTATCCCCATAGATTGATTTGATAGGTAGGACAAAGAATTGACAGATGAAATGGGGTGTCGATTTTTGGTTTCTTCGTCTTTTTTTTTCAAGTATAAGGGAGGTTAGACACTGGACTTATCAACATTTTCTTTCTGAAAAAAGAATAGTTTTGTTTATTACGGAAATAAATTGTATCATAGATTTATGCATTTGGTCAATTTTGTGAACAAATGTTTACAACCATTTTTAAAACAAGTAATATGAAAAAAAAATCAATTCCTACTTAGGTCAACAAAGAAAATTTTTTATTTTAGTTACTTTTTATTAAATAGTTACAATTAATGCAAATATTTATATACATATGACAGAATCACACAATATTATAAATGACAAAATAGAAAGCAATTTTTTATTATCTTTCCTATATAGGATGTTGGACTATTTTTGTTTGTTCGTTATTGTTTATTCATTAAAAAATTCATTAAATTTAATTATTCTAATAAAATAGTACAATAAAAAGAACTAACATCCACAGAAATAAGGCCATCCCAGGTGGAATTCGAACCTATAGATTAAAAGTCCAACACGCTATCCATTGCGCTACAGGGACACAACGAACGATTTTCCTTTCTATATATGGACAATTATTTTTGTTTGTTACTATTTATACATTTTTTAAATAGATTTAATGAATTATAGTATTTGAAAATACTGTTTTACATCAAGTGTCAACCGTTACAAGTTTAAAAACAATTGTATTTGAAATTGAAAGGATGAATAAAATGAATAAAAAGTATTTTTATTAACGATTGAAAATTTAAACAAGATATATATATATATATATATACATATATATATATATATATATATATAAATAGGAGAGAGTGAACAAATAGTAAGAATTGAAAAAGGGATAGTGGGAATATTTGTGAAACCAATTGCATCTACATTTGTTATGTCTCTTGAACTCCACTTTCTTTCTTCTTTGTCATTGTAGGTTATACAACTTTTTCACTTTGTATCTTATTTTATTTTATTATACTATGTATTTTCAGGCATTAATTTAGGCTGCGTTGCACCAATTAATTTGAATATTTATATATTGTGAGTTTACATGTTATTTACTGGCTAAATATATACATTTATATATTAAAAAATTAGCGCAACGTCTTAACAATTAACAGTTTTAACGTATTCCATTTTCATCACAATAAAAATACTATATGCTTAATGGAGTGTTAAATCAGTTTGTAATGTAATATGTTAACATTTTACATAATAATATACTACTATTTTCTTTTATTTGAGCAACTTATGCAGATTGTAGTCAAGAAACTTGCACATGAATGCATTTTTTATAAGCAAAATTTTTCTAATGTCTTACAAGTGTTTTTTTAAACTAATTTACCACATAGAAATTAGGTGAAATGATATAAACTTCTAATTTTCATCAAAATACACTATGATTTAAATTATTTCTGTGATATTTAAAACGAGAAAAACGTATATATTTTAACAGCTTTAGATCAAACGAAAAGAAGTTTAGGTGTTCAAATAGATTTTATGATTTCAAAATAAAATGTTTTCTTGTTGATGACGACCATAAGAATTATTTTATTGAATATTATATGTGGCTTAAAACTTTACTTCATTCCGGTAGTGCATGAATGGTACTGTTATACAAAACACATTATTGTACAAGTCACAAACTACTTTAAGTTCTTAGATAGAATTCCATCCATATTTTACAATTTAGTAACAAGTAAAGAATACACATAATAATATCAAAAAATAATGCTAATTCTTAAACTCATTTTTTTTATTGTGATGAAGAAGATCTAACTTTGTAATTTTTAAGTTTGAATTACTGTATGATGTCTGAAGGAAGACTACTGGGAGAAGATACGCCAAGCCAGAGTTTCGAAGATTTCAATGGGGAAAGTGGCCGATGTTATCATGCATACCTCTTGTGCTGCCCTGAGGACTGCGGTAGCCAGTATATAATCAAGGTATTGGATCATGACAGACATGTCATGAGTTCAAGCCCAGTGCCACTAAAGACCCGCCGTGTAGGGCAGCGATGCACGTTAAATCTGTCGAGAGCTGAATTGTTCTCCCGCTGGTGTGGTGTGGTAGTTAAGAGAGGGGGTGCAAGCTCAGGTGTCGTTCACGTCACTTGACCATGGTTTAAAATTACGTGGTCCGTCACCAAAAGCCTTGGTGTAGCTGGACAGTGCGACGTTAATATTCACTCACTCACTTGTGCTGCCCTGTCGTGACTGATTGCGTCATTTACCTCGGCAGGTACGGTTGCAGCTGTTCCTGTCAGACTAAATAATCCTGTCAGAAATACAATCTGTAATTATTTCACACAGCTCTGGGATAAATTATTTATTTATCAGTAAGAAAATCATCAAAAAATAAAATTAGAATATTCTTTCACAATTCAATAGCAAAAGGTTCCACAGATTTCGCGTCTCTTTCGCTGCAAAGTCTCATCTCTCTAGCATAAAATAATGGCTTAAATTCGTCACTAGAGAAAAGTCCTATACATAGGATACGTAAAATGTGTTCACTCTCGGTAATTCCACACCGATTCTGAGTGAGTTCTCTGGCTCCAAATTCGCCGTGCGCTTTCGCACTCTCTACCATTCCAAAATTCGCCTTACTTTACGGATTCAGTATCGCTTTCTTTCGTTGATCGACAGACCGTTCCCGGATCTCCCCAGTTCGGAGACCGCCATACTTCGCGGGGTCGCTTTCCTTTTTTTCCCCCGAAAGGGGCCACACCCGGCTCCTGAAAAAACCCGTCTCCCCCTTCGGACCCCTCGCTCTCTTTATATTCTCTCTATCTCTCCTAATCATCCTTCTGTGATCTCTTGTTCTTTTGCCGCCCCTTTTGGTCTCGGCTCCCTTGATCTCTTAATCTTTTGCGCTCCAGTCACTCTCGGCCCTTGATCTCTTGTCCTTATGCCGCCCCTGTCGAACTCGGCTTCCTTGATCTCTTGTTCTCCTGCCGCTCCTGTCGGACTCAGCCCGTCTGATCTCTTGCCCAATGGGCGCCGATGGCTGGGCGCACATTGTAAGTTTTTAGACGCGCTGTCGTCACCGAATAGTGGGAAAACAAAAGCATAATGTTATGGCGTCTCTTTTTGACAGTCCGGTCAGCCTGGGAAAAAGGGTCGAAACTTTGACCTGCCGGATTGCGAAATTCTTTCCCAGCAATTAGGGAAAATGTCTGGAATTTTCGCAACGTCTTTCGGTAAGGGGCAAGGGGTATGTTAGCAAATAGGGGAAAGAGACCGGCTTCGTCACAAATCGTTGGTGCGTGATGGTCAGAAGAAAATAATTGCTTTATGTCTGGCAACAGTAGTATATTTATATTAGAAATCGGTATATTTTCATTTAAGTTGGGTGGAGTTATAGAGTGAAGTATTTTAATTACAATAGATATCTGCCTCTTTTAGTTTTCTTCAGATGGAAGCTAGTTGTATGCTATTTAACAAGCTACTAACTCGATGTGGGCATGCTACGGATTTTCCCGCCAAATAGTTCTAAAATTTCGCCAAGTTTGGGAGAAAACTTTCCACTACAACAGTATTAACTTAACCGCAAAATATCTATTTTGAGTATCATTTCTGTATTACTTAATTGTAAACTAATAATTTCACTGACTTCTATTTCTTACTGTTAGAAATTTTTGGTTCATGGTAATTCACATGTCGCTTGATTTGTACTAGTAATTTTCTTCGATGTTGGTCCTACTGTATTGAATTCAATGCTGGTACTTCATTATTGGATTCGAAGCTGATCCTTCAATATTGAATTCGATGTTGGTACTTCAAGATTGGATTCGATGTTGATCCTTCAAGATTGGATTCGATGTTGGTACTTGAAGATTGGATTCGATGTTGGTACTTTAATATTGAATTAAATGTTGGTCAAATTCATTGTATAACTGTAAATCTTTCCATTTTTTAGATGTTGAAGTGCGCTTCCTTTTGTTCCCCCCGTCTTCACCATCAGCACGTTTGTTTCAATCACGGCAACTCTGCGTACAGCTAACCCGCGATCACTCGCGCGAGGTGTTCAGTACACCCCAGCAACAAGAAAATCCTCCCAGATTTCTAAAAAGAATGTGCAGAACCACGATTTTCTTCTGTAGCTGCACATTTTGGAGTCGTGAACCTTCGAGCGTGATGCAATCCCTCTTTGGGAACGATTGGAATGTAATGACGCGAAAAGTTTATCTGGAGGGTGAGAACTCCCGCGAGTTGAGCATTTGTATACAGTCTGCTTTGAAAGTTTGGAAAATGATGCATCTATACTATCATTATCTCATACTATCATTATCATATCATTATCTATACTCTATCATTATCTCATTAATTATAAAGTATATTTATTGCTAGCATATACGTTTTACTGGTTTATGAAAATATAAAATTATAGGTTTAAAATGAAAATTTTGTATGTTTAGAATTAATGTTAGTCTCATTTGTGTGCAATAAAATTAAATAACATTTGTATAATACAAAACACATCTTGTACTATAATATGTATCATAATGACTTAATTTTTATATTTACGCAATTAAATACACGTGTTAAAGTTTGGGGTGTTCTCTACACCCGCAGTAGCAAAGGTAACAAAAAGCAGGCGTGAGTGAACACTGGGCTAAGAAGATACAGCACGTTTGTAGCTCCATACGATTTCTCTACAGCATTTCTCACGCTATTTGGCATTCGTTTTTTCCGTTTTTTAAAATGCTTTTAAGAATATATTTAAGTTTAACTTTTGAAATTCATTTTCAGTTATTCTACCGGCTTTTATTCTGTCATGTTTCAAGTCAAAACTGATCATATTTTTAAAAACGGTCTTTATTCAGTGACCCATCTACATGTTCTGTCGTTGAGAGAAAAACGACACCAAAGAGAAATCTAAGTTTTTTTACCACTTATGCCGAGATGTGAAGCATCTCTTATTTTATGAGTTGTACTTGAGAAGTTTACATATGACTATAAAAATAATGACTGGGTTAGAATGTTTTGAGGTGGGGCCCTCTGTTTCAGGGAAAAAATTGGGGGATTAATTTAATACTTTAAGATGTAATGGAAAATAAAATTTAAATATTATATAGGAATTTAATTTTAAACCTAATTTTTAATTATCCTTATATAATACATACATACATATATATAATATATGTATGTGTGTATATATATATTTGTGTTTATGTATGTGTGTATATATATATTTGTGTTTATGTATGTGTGTGTGTAAATATATTTGTATGTATGTATGTAAAAGTTTTCGTATGTCGTATGTGTATTTAAATTTTTCGATGTACGTATGTACGTATTATGTAAAATGTATGTTTTATGTATGTATGTATGTATGTATGTATGTATGTATGTATGTATGTATGTATGTATGGATGGATGGATGTTTGATGGATGGATGGATGGATGGATGGATGGATTGTGTTAATATATTTGTGTTTATGCATGATGTGTGTGTATATATATTTGTGTTTATGTATGTATGTATGTGTGTGTATATATATTTGTGTTTATGTATGTATGTATGTGTGTGTGTGTGCATTTTATT